TGGATGGAACGCTCTTCAGAGTATCAGTATGGATTTGATGGGCCGAATTGCCTGCTTCCACATTGTAGGGATTCTATGAACTGAGGGCATGGGATGTTTGTTGAGTGGCAAGGAACTGAGAGTTGGAAAAATGGTAAGTACTCAAATTGGCAGGACATAGCCACAGGCTTCTGTGTTGGGGCCTCGGATAATCACAATATTCATGAACCACTTGGACATTGGCATAAAAAGTCATATGTCCACATTTGCTGATGGCACAAAATTGGGCAGCATTGTAGATAATGTTGACAATGGTATAAAATTATAACAGGATATTCATAGATTAATGAATGGGTAAAGCTGTGGTAGATGGATTTTTCTGTAAAGAAGTGTGAGGTTATCTATTTCAGATTGAGAAAGGATAGATCAGGGTATTTTTTACTAGAAGATACAATGTTAAACACAGTGGATATCCAATGAGATTTGGGGGTTCTTCAAAATGCCACAAACAGGTGCCCAAAATAGTCAAAAAGGCTGATAGAATACTGGCCATCATATCCAAAGGGCTGGAGTAAAGGAATGCAGTTATCGAAAACCATAATTAAACCCCTCTTAAAGTACTGTAAGCAAATCTATGCACCACACTTTAGGAGTGATTTTGGTTCTGGAGGCAGTTCAATGCAGATTTACAAGGATAATACGTGGACTTCAGGGCTTAAGTTATGAAGAGAGATGAGACAAGTTAAGGTGTGATCTAATTGAAGTCTTCAAGATGTGGTCACATGGGATTCAGGGTGAACTTGCCAGTTGGACACATAATTGGCTTAATGGCAGGAAACTGAGCAATGGTGGAGGGTTGTTTTTCACACTGGAGGCCTGTGACCAGCGGTGTTCCATAGGGTTCAGTTCTGGGTCCTCTTTTGTTTGTCATTTATGTAAATGATTTGGATGATATAGAGGGCACGGTTAGTAAGTTTGTGGACAACAACAAAATTGATGGAATAATAGACGGTGAACAAGGTTATTTAAGATTGCAAAGAGCATTTGATCAAATGGGTCAACGGGCTGAAAAATGGCAGCTGGAGTTCAATCTGGATAAATGTGAGGTATTGCATTTTTGTAAAACAAACAAGGGTAAGACTTATGCAATCAATAGTAGGGTCTTGGGTAATGTTGTAGAGCAGAGAGACCTAGGGGTTCAGGTACATAATTCTATAAACTTTGCATCAGATACAGACAGGATGGTTAAAAAGGCTCAGTCCTTTGAATATAGAAGTTGCAAAGTCATACTGAGGTTGTAAAGGACATTGGTGAGGCATCTTCTGGAATATTATGTTCAGTTCTGGTCCCCAGTTATAGGAAGGATATTATTAAGCTGGAGGGGGTTCAAAAGAGATTTACCAGGATGTTGCTGGGTATGGAAGGTTTGAGTTCGAAGGAAAGGCTGGATAGGCTGGGACTTTTTTCACTGGAGTGTAGGAGGTTGAGAGTTGGCCTTATAGAAGTTTGTAAAGTAATGAGGGGAATGAGTAGGGTTAATAGTAGGTGTCTTTTCCCTAGGATGGGGGATTTCAAGACTGGGGACTCATTTTTAAGGTGTAAGGAGAGAGATTTAAAAAAGACACGAGAATACAAAGAATAGTTCGTGTGTGGAATGAACTTCCTGAGGAAGTAGTAGATATGGGCACAATTACCACTTTTAAAAGACATTTGGATAAGTACATGAATAGGAATGGTTTGGAGGGATATGGGCCAGGAGCAGTCAAGTGGGACAAGTTTCATTTGGGATTACGTTCAGCATGTACTGGTTGGACCAAAGGGTCTGGTTCTGTGCTGTACGACTCTATGACTCTGTGTTAACAGGAAAAGATGGGGTAGATAAAGATAAACTATTTCCATTTTGAAAGTTCTAGAAACAGGACCATTGTCTTACATTTAGGGCCAGGCCATTCAGGAAAGACGTTAAAAAGCACTGTTACACAAAAAATATTGTGGGGGTTTGGAACTCTCTTCTTCAACTGGTAGTTGATGCTAATTAAACTGTTAAATTTAAACTTGAGCTAGATTAACTTATATTAAGCAAAAGTATCAAAGGATATGGGTCCAGGGTAGGCAGATTGAGTTAGGCCACAGATCAGCCATGATCTTATTGAATAGAGGAGCAGGCTCAAGTGGCTGAATAGCCCACTCCTGGTCCTATGATTGAGAGAAGAATTGAAATGTGACAAGCCTGTACAAGAGTGGTGCAAGTTATTGATTTGTAAGATGCATCAAAAATTGCTGCAGTACATCTGTTTATGGTATGCACTGCTGCCACTACGCATCAGTGATGGAGGGTAGGGTTGTCTAAGATGACGTGCTTTGTCCTGGCTGGAGTCAAACTTCTTGAGTGTTGTTGGAGCTGCACTCTTCCAGCAAGGTGACATTCTATCAGACTTCAGACTTGCACCTTGTAGGTAGGGAACCAGCAGTGGGGAGGTGAACAAGCTGGAAGGTGAATTGCCAGGAGACATTTCTTCACCCAAAGAGTGGTGAGCCTGTGGAATTCATTACCACAGGAAGCAGTTGACGCCAAAACACTGAATGTATTCAAAAGGCAGCTAGATATAGCACTTGGGGCGAATGGGATCAAAGGTTATAGGGAGAAAGCAGGATTAGGGTATTGAGTTAGATAATCAGCCATGATTGTGATGAACGGTAGAGCAGACTTGGAGGGCTGAATGGCCTCCTCCTGCTCCTATCTTCTATGTTTCTATGTTTCACCACAGAATTCCCAGCATCTGATGTGCTCTTAAAGCCACAGAATTTATATGACAATCCAGATTAATACTTCGTCAATGATACCCACCCACCCCCCTAATCAACCAACCCCTCTCCCCCTTGCCCCACCCTCAGGATATTTCTAGGACTAGGCCATTCTGGGAAGCACAGGAATTAGTCAAGTCTAGAGGTAGCAAAAGCATGAATCAGGGATTGGCAGCAGATGAGCTTAAATAAGGAAGAGTCGGGTGACTTTACAACAGTGGAAATAAGGGGTTATAGTGAAAGCGCAATATAAGGTTGGAAATTCACCTTGAAGTCACATTTGACACTAACAGTCTATGTCTACCTTGGTCAGTTATCATTGAGAGGAAAGGAGTCAGTGAATGGGGAATGGAATCTGTAGCCAGGACTGGAAATAATAGCTTCTGTCTTTATATTATTATTGGAGGATATTACCCGAGGCACATTCATTGAGCTCCTAGAGAGAAATGCCTTGCAATTCTTTGCATGTCTTTAACAGATGGAAGTCTTGTGTCCCTGAGCTAATAACATTCTTGAAGAGAAGTTTAAGTTAGTGGGTGATGGTAGTTCAGTTGGTGTTGCAGTGTTTTGTTTCCAGAAAGCCTTCAATAAAGGGCTGCAAGGAAGGTCATTTAGATATGAGTTCATTATGTGGTGTCAATGGAGAAAGGTTATGTTCAATGTTAAATTGTATGAAGGAGATGACAGCGTTAATGAAATTATTTAGGAATTTGGGTGCAAAGACTTAGAAACACAGATCCAATAGTAATGTACAGGTCAATTTAGGTATGTTTAGAAAATGGGTTTGAGAGGTAGAAGGCTTTTAATGTGGATGAATGCAGTGTGAAGTATCTGAGGCTTAGAAATTCTAAGCATGTGTTTGGGAAGCAAGAATACTATGAAAGGCTGAAGAATAGGTGAAGGGTTCACAAAGGATAATTCATTGAAGATCTGTAAATACTGTGAGCTAGGAGGGTAGGTTCAAGATTTACGGCAGTAAAACTTACAGTGAAGAACTCCGGGTGAGAATTTAACTTGGACAAAACCCATTTACTCACAAGAGTTAAAATTGGACACGCTATTTTTAGGTTCTACGAAGCCTTGCTACATCTGCATATAATATTGCAGTCTGAATTCCACGAATAGTACTTCCCTAAATAAATCCGATACCAAATCTTAGGAACCTTCACCATCAGAATGGGGGATGGATTTGAGAAACCAGATATTCTTCATTAAAGAAACATGGATTGGAGGAAATGTGATTTTAAGGGGAAAAATACATTGCACTATTTAGATTGTGGAAAGTCAGAAGGTGGTTAAGATTGGAGAATGGCAGAATGTGAGCATAATTAACGTTTGTAACTACAGAATTAAAGTTAGATGCTGAGTGAAGAATTGAATCTCAATTTGTTTTTTCATTGTCTCTGTCATGAGGTTGTGAAACTAAAAACATGTCACACAAAGTTGTGTCTTGATTGGGCAGGCTGGTTGGACCAGATGAAGTTTACCCATCCTCCTTGGCCATGTTCTAAATGGGATTAGGCAGATCTCAAACTGGCCTTGAATGGTGATCTGGAAATAACAGTCTTTTATAACTGTAGAGATGTCTATTCCATGTGGGCAATGAGGTGAGGGCAACCGCTTTACAAAGAATAAGATTTCATTTTTTAATGGATTGTATTCCGGGGTTTTAACTGATACTTTTTGAATATTGAATACTGAAAAATCTAGAAGTCAGTAACTTTCTTTTCTAATTTTCTACATTTAGTTAGATTTTCAACAATAAATTTTAATTCTTCTACATTTGCATTGGAAGTCTGAGTGTTTGGCACCTACAATTATCTTTTTGCAGAAATAAAAACAATATTTTAATGATGAAACTGTCTGTGACCCACTTTAAAATAGCTCCTCAGTTTGAGATCTGTGATGTGTGCATTTGCAATATTAATCAATTCTGTCATTTCTATTTTTTCTTGGGATTCTTATGGAATTACTTATGAAAGGAATCATTTACTTGTGGAGTTTATCCAGATGTTTCACATAGTCCAGAGCACTGCCATGATTGGCCAACCTTTCATTCTCAATTACAATAAATGTTCAATATCTCATGGTACTGCATTGCCCAGAAAACAAGAATTCTTGTTAATATAAATTTTCTCAGGGATTTGCAAGCGCTCTTTTATGCTGGCCTTGCATTAAAAGGTGAAAGAATAAATATACTGTCATAAGCCATGTCATTAAGGTTATAAACTAAATTGATTTATTAAAAATAAAAAGTCATCAATAGCAGAAAATCAATACAGCAGATATTACTTGATTACATAACATTTAAATTACAACTCTTAAGCTACAATAATAATTAAAAATGCAACAGATTATTATTTTGATTGTGGAATATTAGCACACAGGCTTAGAATCCTTACAGTGCCGAAGCAGGCCATTTGGCCCATCGAGTCCATACTGACTTTTGGAACAGCAAAACAGCACCCCATCAAGACCCACCCTACCCCTGTAACCCTGCATTTCCCATGGCCAATCCACCTGACCTGCACATCTTTAGATTGTGGCAGGAAACCAGAGCACCCACACACAGACATGAGAAGAATGTGAAAACTCTACACAGACTGTCACCCAGGGCTGGAATCAAACCTGGGTCCCTGGTGTTGTAAAGCTCTGAGCACTGTGTCACCCCTCAATGTTTCCACCTGTGGGCTTTTATAATGAAGGACTTCCCAGAAGTTGATGGCTAAATGCTGTAGTCAGTTAGGCCAATTAGAGTGACAAATGTATCAATCTCCCATGTGGTTAAAGCCCTTTGAAGTTACTGGAGCTTGTAGATAACATGGTGCTGGCTTCCTCCTAGAGAAGCAATGACCCAGAGGTACATCCTGCAAAGCAGCTCAGGATGCATCTGCTGGTCTGAAGTGGAGGGATTCCCACCACTGCAGTGGTACCTTGGCCACTGTTGCCACAGTATATTTTGAAATATTTACAAGATTTTACAGGGTGCCTCCACTTTGAGATGTCTTTGTAGCCCCCCTCTTACAATAACTTATGTCCAGATCTCCCACTGGGGATCAGAACCTTAGCTGTTCCCATATGCCCCAGATTTAAGGGCCTCAATTGTTTACTGGAGCTCTCAGAGACAACCTGATACCGAGCCACCTCTTTGAAAATCTTCTCCGGGGTCCCAATATCGCCACATCTGGGTTCCTGCCCTGGAATATAGGCATTGGGATTGGCACCCAGGAATGATAATTCAGACCAACCTTCCAGATCGATAACTTTTCATTGGAGCTGGAAGCAAATTAAGTCTCGATGAATGGTCATTGACCTGAAACGTTCACTCTGTTTTTCTCTTTGCTGATGCTGCCAGGCCTGTTAAGTATCTCCATTTCAAAACTTCAGCATCCATAGAATTTGGTTTTGCATTAACACTTGTTTGAAAGATTGTTTTTTATATCCAAACTCTGCTCCTAAATTGCTGATGACCATCACTTGAGTAGTCAAACAGAAATCTGCAGATTTGGAACTTGAGTCCTGGTTAGAACCAATTTCTGTGGATCGGCAGATGTGGATTTCACACACCTAGTTCCACTGCGGGTGTGAACATGGTCTGGCAGATATGCAGTAACAGGTTTACGGTCTGACAGAGAGCATGCACAAGTTCACAAACATGGCATCGGAGAACCTGCTAGAGGAGGTCCAGAACAGGACAGATCTCCTGTAAATACAGAGCAGAGAAATCACGGCTTTGACATCCCATCACTCCCTCCTGTCATAGCTGGTGCTGCTCTCCCAAGCCTCATGCAAGTCGGGGGCAATCCCTGGAAAGATACTCTGGAATCTCTGAGAAAGTGAGATAATGCAGCACCTTATCAGGTGAAACAGAAATTGCTGGGAAAACCCAGCAGGTCTAGCAGCATCCATAGAGAGAAGACAGAGGTAATGTTTTTACGTCCAGAGACCCTTCTTCAGAACAGCATTCTTCAGCAGTTAACTCTGCTTTCTCTCCACAGAAGCTGCCAGACAAATGCTGCTGATCTTTTCCAGCAATTTCTGTTTTAATTTCCGATTCCCAGAATCCGCAGCACTTTGATTTTTTTTTTACCTTCATCAGATGAAACTCATTGAGAATGTCAAAATAAATATCAATAGAATGGCTCTTTTGGTACAATGGTAGTGTCCCTAACTCTGAACCAATACGCTAAGGTTCAATTCTCAATTGCTCCAGAAATGTATAATAATGTCTCTGAACATGTTGATTAGAAAAATATCTAAATGTCAATAGAAGTGTTGGTGAATGCACAAATAGTCACAGAAAGTCTTCAGAAGTGTTTCAAAAGTCACTTTCTTCAATCCTCCAACAGTAAAGGGTGATGGACCTGCTAATGGCACTGGACATTCTTTGCAATAACTTTTTACATCATCCTATTCAGTTGGTCACTGTTAGCAGAAGGGTTTAGGTTAAAATGCCATGAGGCCTCTTTAGCAACCACTTCTCCAGGAGGCCAGACCCTGTACTAGCTTTAATAACTTTAAAGTACCTCGCAGTAACTGTAGGTTAAACCACAATTTCAGTTCATTTTGGTTACCTCGGAAACCACGTTAGCACCTAAAGAAGCAATGAAAATGTCCTGCTTAACCTGTCTCAAATTTAGATGTGTTCTAACACTAGCCCTTGAGATAAGATAGACCTTCCCAACAATGTGGAACTAATGATCTGTTTATTACCAAACGTTTAGTTAAAGCTGTTTTTTTTTTGATTGCCTGAGTGAGGCTGAGGCAGATATGACCACCATGTTTGTAAAGCAAGCACATTACAGCAAAGAAACATCCAGGACAGATTGGTGAAAACTAATGAAATGAAACTAATGTTCCATCCTAATTGCCTGAATATTTCTGTTAGAGCAACAAATTAATTGGTAATTTTTTAACCTTGTCCCATTTGTCTCTTGGTGGGTTCTATTTAATGCTCCCAGCTACTTTCTTACCCTCTCAGATTGCCCTTGTTTTGAGGGTTGAATTTTACATTACCTTTAGAGGGGATCTTGGTTTGTTTTTGTAGAAGAGTTCACTTATTGCAAACACCAGCTAATTGTTTTTCAGGGAGGCAATTTTATTCCTTCTTGTCATCACACTGCGTCCTTACTTGCTTGTTCATTTCTTAATTTTTGCCTCAATACAAATTCTTTATCTGAGAGATTTGATTGATGACACATTGACAGTAATGTCCCAATAGCCTGATCATGCAGAACACAGTTGGGGCTTTCCAACATTGACTGTTTACTACTTTTAAAAATAGTAAACACGTCAGCACACTAGTGCAAAGATCTGTGAGCCTCAACATCAAACTATTGAAGGTTTTGTTTTCGCTCTGTGGGCCTGTGATTCCAAAGATGATATCACATGTCAGATGACTTTCTCTTTGATCGGTTTTCCACGAAGGATTTTGACAGTAGGAAGTACAGAATAGGATTCAGGCAGCTACTCAATGAAACAAACCATAGTGTTATCAGTTTCACATGATGTGTCCCCAGAAGGTGCTCGCAGCTGCTGTTTCTTAATCTCTGCAGCCCAGTGATTATCTGATAAACATGATAAGGCAAATGGCAGACGATGAATCCAGTCATAGCAGCAATGATGATCATTTGTGCTCGCACATGGATCACTCGATTGTGTTGACTTATGCTTTTTCTCCTCACCATGCACAGATGGAGTGCTATTGATGCATAAGAAAAAGCAAACATGGCTAAAATAATCAAGAAAATTACTGCAACTGCAACAAATGCATTGGCAGACACTCTTTTGCCATATTGCAACTGGATGTTATAACAAACAGGATCCTGATCATTGGTGAAGTCCAATTCCTTGATGAAGTAGTTTACATTCAGTGAAAGAATGGGGATTGTGGCTATTATCCAGGTGACAGTGCAGGCAATCCGTGCAAAACTTGTATCATAGAACTTATTCAGCTGCATGTTGTTGGGCTTTACAATCATGGTATATCGGCTGATGCTGATAAATGCAATGAAAATTGTGCTGCAGCTGACAGTGTAGTAGAAACTGAAGTTAATGATAATCATTACAATGGTACATGTAGGTGAATTCTCCTTCCAGGTGTCTCCCATGAAAAGCAACGTGGCTCTGAAGGGAAGTGTGAAGCAATTGATCAGATCAGCCATAGCAAGGTTCATTAGGTAAATAAGGATACCGTGCTTCCTGCTGTGTTGTAGAAGCATCCACAGGGCCATGAAGTTGGCTGGCAGCCCAACGCAAATGATGACCAAGTACAAGATCGGAAGAATCACCTTCTCCAACCGGTTGGCTGTGAGAGTGCAGTCGGAAACATTGTTTGTTACATTCATCATCATGATCATGAAGGTGTTGGTTTCCATCGAAATTCAGCTGAAAGAAAATGAATAATGTTATTCATTTGAGTATGCAATATTGCAAGCATTTTCTTTTCACTGCTATGTTTATAATGGTGTAGGGGAATGATACTATATACACATAACACGATGGAGCAGGATCGTATGACCCCTCGGGGGGGGCACTAGTCCTGGTGCTTTTGCAAGTTAGTTCAGGCCCAGATGAGCATCCTATTCTGAGTTATAAGCCATGGCCAATGGTGTAACTGGCAAATATTCTCTGGTGATGGCAGAGAGGTAGGAATCTCAATTGGCAATAGCTGTTTGCAGCTGGACGAGGTTTTAGAGAACAGGACTTGTGTTTTCTTTAAGCACACCTGAGGAAAGCAGTGGGAAACCATTTGAGACATTCTTTTTCCCAAACACATTGCTCACTGAAATTGAAAATGGAAGGATCCAATGAGCAATTGAAGAGAAAATTGCAACGCCATGAGACATGAAGAATCGAGCAGAGGGCCTGCTTTTAGGCAGATCACCGTTCCACCCATCTCAAACTTTTATTCACTTTGAGTACGTAAGTGAACACAATTATAAAAGGAGATCGGCTAAACAGATTCTTTTGATGTTGTTGCTTAAGATACAATCAGGTGGAAATTTCATGGTGAAAATGCTGTAGCATTGAAAAACCACTTGCTGTTAAATCTAATCAAATCTACTGTTTGTTTTTTACAAAAAAAAGTCAGAGCACGGTCATTAAGAATTTACTAACTAAATTACATTCTCTGAAATTATATGTTTCAAAGTTCCACATCTCACAAGTTTCTTTACAGATTGTTCATTATAAAAAAATCATGGACATTCCCTCATTTTGTATCAAACGGTTTGCTTTCGAACCTCAACCAATTAGTGATAGAAATGACATGGATGCGAAATAAATAATATTTTAGTTTGTTTTAGGAGCTACCTAGCACCAAGCAAGACACAAATAACATATATTAAATCATTGAAACGTTTGTATGTCTGATAAAAATGCGACAAAACCCTACATAAAACCACTTTAGACGTAACTTGCTTTCTTCATTTTGGATGTAATTACTGGTTTGCAGATTGAGGGAAAAGAGAAAGGGAGACACAAATCACTGATCAAGAAGGTAGGCAAGTGATGCTGCTATCTTTACAAGGGTGGGAAATGTTTAGATTAATATTGTAAAGAGCTCCGTTTTATTGGGTGCTGAATAAGATAATGGCTTTGAAAGGATTAATGTTTCAGAATGCAATAATCTGATGTCAGATATTCTTAGGTTGACAAATCAGCAGAGCAGCTTTGGGTCTGGAGGGGCAGATCTGTCATTTGTGTCTCTCAATTGGCTTAAGAACTACATCTAACCAATTAACATAACCTAATTGCTTTTGTGTAATAAAATACATCTTGTTAAGAGCTTCTTCTTATTAAGATTCAGTATCTCTCCCATTGTAAACCAAATAGGCTTCTAGATGCAGTCTAGGAAAGAGAACTGGTGGCAGTATCTTTCTATTGACAAATACCCTAAGCCTGTCACTGAAGGAAGGCACAAGATCACAATCTTTCTTCATTGTCTCAGATTTTAAGTGATATAGCAAGAGTACATTATGTTGAAAGAGTCTTGCTCTCATGTCTGTGGTGGTTTTCAAACCATTCTAAATGTTGGCATTCTTGCTATCCAGAAGATGCTAGCTGGTCTGGTGCCAGAGGAGCCAGATGATTGCTAAAGGCTCTAGTTGTTGCGCAAGAATAATTTCTGGTCTTCACCACATATAAAGTGATTTGAGGTGCAGTGCCTTTGTGAAATGAAGCCTGGAGTCCTGATAGGACCCTTCAGGCTTTCTAAATCCATCAAGAGGTCTTGTAATTCTGTAGAGTGAGCCACCACTTGCTGGCTAACATCTTAGCTCCCAGCTCTATCCAATATGACAGTAAAATCAGCATCGCTACTGGCAAGCAAGGGTAGGGGAGAACTACTGCCCTCAGGTTATACTGCATAGATGGCCTTTCAATCTATAAGGCTCAAACATGTGATTTATAGATTTAATTAATAAATTAGAAATGTTCGGAATACCCAACTGTCCAGTTGCCGTATTATAAAAAAGGATATTGAGACACTAAAGGTTGTAAAAATGATTTATAAAGATTATACCAGAAAGAAAGAGTTTTGAGATTAAACCTATCAAGAATAACTGACTGGAAACGTCTTTCTTAGGTAGACTAGAGATCTTTTAAAATTGAGTTTTAACAGAGAAGACTCAGAGTGCAGAGAACATATGAAAACTAAAGTCCACCTATACAAGGGAGTAACCAAGTAAAATAGAAAAGTCTTCAGTATGGAATGTTATACTGATAGTTAGCAGAAGAGCAATGGGAGGATCAAAGCCAAATGCTTGCTAAGCCAAATGGGCTGTTTCTGTGCTGTATTTCATGTGACACTTTGAGACTCAGTCTAATCTCTCATTAGGCATTGATCAGAGTATCAAATGTGTCCCTTAACTTCTGTACAGGTGGGTGAGTTTTGAATGAGTCAAGATCTTGCCCAAAGTTTGTGCTGAAGTGTGATGTGTTATTTAAAGTGTTGCATTTGAAGTATGATAGAAAGTAAATGTGACGTTGACAGAAAGTTAATGCTATATCCAGGACTTTTAATAGATTCCAGATGGGACTTTCCTGTAATTGACAAGAAAGTTAATGGCCTACCCATGGAGTATTTACTTTTTGTATAGCATTAGAAAACTAATTTTGCTATTGAAAAAGCTGAGTACATATTCCAGCAATTGTTACTGATAAAAAGATTTGTCCTTTAACTATCAAATTTAATATGTTACCACCTAAACAGGAACAATTCAATAAAGACAGAAAATTTTAATATTGCAGAAAAGAGAGACATGATGTTCAAGCTTTTCACACACTCACTGGGACAAATACAAAAATTCCAAAATTCGATCACAATCTACATTAAAGGAAAAAAGGATTTTAATTGGTTAGCAAGGCAATTCTGATTAGTCAAGGTGTTGTTATGGCGAAAGCAGCAGGGAGCTATGATAACCTCAAGTTTCTAAATAGTTTTAACAATGTGCAAAGCTGGGATATATTTCTTTCTCACAGGGAATGTGTCCCTGTGTAAAAATGTAAGTTATGTGCAGCAAGTGTAAATGAGCCAAAGTACAAGCTCCATTGATTATCTCAAATTGGTTGATTGTGTACCTATTAGCACACTCAGGATTGCTTAAAAAGTGCTTTCCAATCCTGGAATTATATCTAAAGGTAGAGTTTTATTTAGAGCTTTTTGAGTATAGTCTGTGCTCTGCAAAAAAGAAACATGTTGTTTGGTTCAATCAGTAAATGATTGGGAGATATGACTTGCATACCTGGTACTGTACCAGCACTGAAATTCATACATGATGTTGTGTAAGTCTCTGACTGGCAGAATGTCCTTTTGAACAGGTGGCAATATCCTGTTAGCAGAAAATACCACTTGCTTAGCTACTTCATAGTAGCAGCTATGAAATGGTTTCCTTAACCTGTTTTTTTTTTGGCTTTTACAAGATAATTAGAGGTAAATCAGGTCTTGAGCAGCCTTTGATATAGTAACAAATTTGTGCGATACACAATGATCTGATCTGAATAGCCACAGAAATGTAGCATTGCAACATGAACAAGTATCTAGAGCCATATTTGCAAGATTGCTGGTTAGGCTAATCTTATAGTGCAAGGACTACACAAATATCAACACACTTATTGATGCTGAAAGTAGGCTTATGGTAGATAATAGTGGGTGAACTACTATGTAAAGAAGAGAGTGTATTAAACTGTTCCATCTCGAAAGTGAATTTGAACAAAGAGTCTATTAAGATGTAGAAGGAAATAATTACATCTGGCTGCAGATTCAAAAATCATGAACAAGACCACTACATATCAGAAATAAGCAGGAGTAGGAGACTGGGGATCATTCCATCAAAATATGAATTTCTTGTGGACACTGATGCAAATGTTAGCAAGCAGCAGGTCCAAAGGAGATCTATGGCTACACCATCTATCATGATACAGGGTATCATTCAAAGTGAAATTGACTGCATGAATTGCTAAGTTCATAAGTTAAATTAATACAGAATCAGGAATCAAAACCATGTTGATACTGCTGGGATATTGATTCATGGCACAAATTTCAGTGTCTTCCTTCAATGGCATATTCATAACATAACTCTCAATGCCAAGCAGCACTTAGACAAGGCATTGCTATCTGAGGAAGGGTCACTGGACCCGAAACGTTAACTCTGTTTTTCCCCTCACAGATGCTGCCAGACCTGCTGAGCTTTTCCAGTAACTTTGTTTTTATTGCTATCCAAATGTTGGTCATGTGTAGACGTCCCCAAGTTGAATGTATTCTTCACCACATGAATGGAAAACCCAGTAAAAACTGGCTATAGTAATCCAATTAACCATTTGGCCAATTCATGCTGTCTAGAACCAGTTAATGACAAAATAGGGCATTATGAGACATCACTTTTGTGTGTCTTTGGCAGTCCATACGTGTATGCATACCGTGAACCATAAAGATGAATCCTATCAATGACAACACAAGGCAGCTTACTTCTCTTATGCAAGACTAACAAATGTTTTTTTTGTAAATTGCCTTTGAGCAAGGCTATGTGATTATTCTTGGTGGCAGTTCCAATAGATATGAATTTGGAACCATCATTATGAATGGTGTTTCTTTAAGTCAATGTTATTCTTTTAAATTACTACACCAATCCCTCTGTCAGACTTGCAACATTGTCTTGTGTTATGGCCACACCCCAGGTGAGGTTCCACAATTTGTTACAATTCCAGACAAGATACCCTAAATCGTTAAATTCCTGGGTGACAAGGGATCAACCTGTTTGGTTGATCGCAACAAGGATAATTTAAAAACAAATCTCTTCTTTTATGGTTCCCTTTCTCACAAACCCAAAAGAACTATGTTTTAATAGGAGATAATTTAATCAGGCTTTCTTGAGTTAACAAAGAATAAGAAGTGTTAGTAGCATCACAAACATATAAGCAGATTAAAAATACAGTGATTACAAAAAAACAAAAGTTAATAAAATGAAAAGAGATGTGCAGATCAGTCTCTGAATTGTTTGTAAAGCATAGATAGTTGAACATTGTGGCTGTAACGGTGGATATTACTAGCAGTATTGATGTTGGTAGTTGAACAGTCAGTTTCCCAATCCTTAGTTTTGCAGATTGGCTGAGATTATGTAGTTCCATTACCTTTTGACCCTTATTGAATTCCAACATTTAGGGTGAGAGAGAGTCCTTTTGTTGTCCTGTTTTGCTTTTGTGGCAGTAAGCAAGATGACCGCTAACACTCAGAGTGAGAGATATTTATTTACCTGAAATACAAGGATAATTATCAGATAGTGCTTCAACTGTGCCCCAGGCTGTTACATGGAAAAATATTCAGTCCCACTAACACACTCCAGTAAAGTTAAAAATGGCTTTTTAACTGCTGTCCTTGTTGATTCTTCAAAGACAAAAACACAAAATGTGTCTGCAGTTTGGGACCTAATAGTTAGTGGTAGTTGAGCAAAAAGTCATAGCCCTTCATTATGTTTGTAGCCATAAGAGATCACAGTCCAGTCTGTTTTGACTTGCCTCTTTCCCCCTTTTGAACAGCTGTTGTTTGAAGTTCCCTTCACATTCGTAGGTGGGTCCCTCTCTCCAGCTAGCCACTTTGGCCAAATTAACCTTCTTTTAAAAAACACATTTTGGGTTTCAGTTTTACTGTTTAAGATTGTCCCCAGTACCGGGGGTGGGGGGTTTGAGATGTCAAGATGCTTACAACACCACTGGAAATTTAAGCTGTACTTGAAAATCAGACAAGTCCTGGAGTATTTCACAATATGTATGCATCAGACCTACTAGATGTGCTTTCAAAGACTCAGTATTTCTGTAGGACATTGTTTCATGGCAGTATAGTCAAGAATAACTGAGTTTAAATCAGCAAATACGTCTTCCCGTTGAATGTGTTATGTAGGATGACCAAAGTTGAAGCATTATGCCAGGACAAAACTCTTCACTATTGAAGAACACAAGATTGAACAAACTCACTACGTGTTTGGTTGTGTTTTTTCTTTCTGTATTCTATTTTGTTTTATCTTTCTCTTTTTGTCTACCCAGGAGCGTTATCACACATAACTGAGCAACTTGGTGGTGGTTTTAGTCACATTGTCAAAACATTTCAGTTGTTTGCAATGTGGGCATGCTTCACGCAGGTTTTGATTTCAATGTGGTTATCTGTTGAAGCACAAACAGCTCAAATTCAAAAGTTAAAGATACTGTGTGCCCCAGACCAAGTGAAGTGTAGAGCACAATTTGATTAGTTATCTTTCAACTAATTGTTCAGTCTCATCCTTGCTCTGTTCTGGGACTATATCTCACCTCAGTACAATCAATCTGCTTGGAAATGAACAAAAGCACAGTGGTTGGTATAATACACTGTCTTGATTACTTGTAGTCAACCAGGTAGCACTTGCAAGATCCGGAATAAAATTCTGTTTTAACCTGTGTGATTTTGGAGTCTGGCAGCACTTGCAGAACAGTTGTGAGCTCACCAATAGCTACACTATCTTCCAATTTAAGATGACTAGATGAGCCTCTGATGTAACCCTCCTATGATTTCTGGAATTGACAAAAAAAACTGCAAAAAAACAAGTGATAAACCCTGAAAGTTTTTCAAATCCCAGGAATTTAGGGAGCTTATAGCTCCATGTTGCTTTCTCCATGGCAACGCCTTAGCCAACCAGAGTTGAATTGCCAACAAATTACAGCTGTTTTCTCCCATAGTATAAGTTATTGTGATTATTGAAATTTCACATTCTTATATTTATCCTGCTGAGTGTATGACAAAAAGCTTGGGAAACAAATCTCTCTCTTCAGGGGTATTCAAGAGAGAAAGCATTGAAAATTCAACGGTTATTAATTAGGAGAGAATCATGAAATGGTTACACTATAGAATGAGATCATTAAGACTGTCAAACACATGCTGGTTCTCTGCAAGATCGATTCAGCTAGTTCACTGCCATACCCTTTTTTGCCATTGCTTTACAAACGTTTTTCTTTCAGGTACAATTCCCTTTCAAAAGTCACGATTGAAAATGCCAACAGCACTGAGACGAACCAGCTGTTTAGTGGTATAGGAACATTTGAATGTATATCTATATTTTGGGGTATAATATATTTTAAAACATTAACCAGTTTTTTTTCCCTCACCGATCCTAAAAGAGCTGCTCTTGCAATCCTTCTCTACTGAATGATTCAGACATTTGAGTTCATCAAGGCAACAAAAACGTCCAGCCTGTTTAATATTTTTATCAGCACTGTGGTTTGCAGTGGCAATATTTTATAAATGCAGTAAAATTTCTCTCACCATCCACTTGTCTGGGTTGTGTTTCCCATCACAGTTTTAAAAACTACAATATAATGGAATAAAATTTCTATACACAGATTTAAAGGCAGTCAACTTGCATTCTTATTCTGAATTCCTAGTGAAGAACTTTGATTTACTAACGCATTCAGTGCCACATTATTTTATGCGCTGAAAACAATTCAATGAGCCTTAGAAATATTCCAGTGTATATACATGGTAATTTTAACAAAAATGACCTAAGTATTGGACATTTCAATGCTGAATTTCAACCTAAGTTCCGTTTTTCAAAGAGGAACAGACATATTGTGCCAAATTGACACGATTTCAACATTAATCACAGAGTATTGTAAACAGGAAACCATCTCTGAGAACCACAATGAATAATCCGTTTGCAGAACATTGGTTATGGTTTTCAAAATTATTTTCTGCAATACTGCTAAACGTACATGTTTTGGAAAAGAACCTACACAAACTTGTGAAAGAACTTCAAAGAAAGTTTGACTTACCATTGCATAATAACATAAGTGCACGGCCTATCATGGCAGTCTTGTATGATTTAATGGCCTTGACTATTTTGATCTTTTTCAGAAACTCTGGATTTTGCTGAAGAGGTACTTGGGTTCATTAAGGCTATTAGTCAGAACACTTTCCAATGCTCTTCATAGGCAAGATCGAGGATGGTTTTCTTCCACTTTAGTGTGAGGTGTTCCGAGATGGCTATAAGTTCAATATGCAATCTACAGATTTTTGGGCCATGTTGTGCTTGAGAGTGATATCTAATTTATTTAGAGGTTAGTATGTTCTCTCCAACACCTCGACATTGCCTCTGCGAAGTCTCCTGATGTGTTCAGTGCCTTGTTGGATGCACCTTGTCTATTTTGATCAGCGACAAGTCTTGAATTCTCAAGAGTTGGCAGGGATGTTCGATCTGAGGACAGCCTAAAATTATTTCTACTGCCCTCCTGGAAATCTCCTGTTTTTAACCGCATTCCTATTAGAATGGTTACTTTAGGAGACTGATTTTGGATATACAAATCAAAGGTCTGGATGGTGAAGAATTTGTTGAATGCGTTTAAGAACATTTTTTTCCATATGTAAATGTTCCTACCAGAGAAGGAGCAACGCTTGACCTTCTCTTGGGCAATAAGACAGAGCAAGTGACTCACTGTGATCGTAGGGGAACACTTTGGGTCTATTGAGGATAATTCTATTTGTTTTAAAATAGTTATGGAAAAAGAAAAGACTTCTAGAAAATTTAAAGTTTTTAATTGAGTAAGACAAATTTTAATGGCATGAGACAAGAACTTTCAAAAATTGATTGGAGTAGACTGTTCACAGGTAAAGGGACGACTGATAAGTGGTTGGTTTCCAAAAGTTTGGTAATGAGAGTTCAGAGCCATTATGTTCTTGACGGAGTGAAAGGCAAGGCTGGTAGGATTAGGGAACAATGGATGAATAAAGATATTGAGGTTCTGGTCAGGAATAAAAAAGAACCATGTATTAGATATAGACAACTGGGTTCAAATGAACCTTTTGAACAATATAAAGAGTGTAGGGGCAAGTCGGGAAGGCAAAGAGAGGATTTGAGATAGCTATGGCAAATAAGGTTAAGGATAATCCAAAGAGATTCTCCAAGTACTTTAAGAGCTAGAAAGCAAAACAGAGAGTAGGGTCCCGTAGAGATCAAAGAGGTTCCTTTTTGTGTTGAGCCTCAGGGAATGGGAGAGATAGTAAATGAATATTTCATGTTAGTTTTTACTGTGAAGAATGAACTGGAGGGTAGAGAGCTTCAGGAAATAAATATAATGATATTTTGAAAACAGTTCACATTACAGAAGAAGTAGTGCTGGAGGTCTTAGAAAATATAAAGTTGGATAAATCTGTGGGGCATGATCCAGTGTATCCCAGGACTTTGTGGGAAGTTAGGGAGTAAATTGCAGGGCTCTTTGCAGAAATGTTTGTTTCATCTATAACCAGATGGCTGGAGAGTGGTAAATGTTGTGCCTTTAAGAAGTGATGTGAGGAGAAGCCTGTGAACTATAGACCTGTGAGTCTGGCATTGGAGGTGGGTAAGTCGTTAGAAGTGATTCTGAAAGACAGGACTTATATGCATTTGGAGGGGCAAGGATGATTAGGGATAGTCAGCTCGGTTTTGTGCCAGGAAAATCGTGTCTCTCAAACTTGATTGAGTTTTTTGAGGATGTAACCAAGAAGATAGATGACAGCAGAGAAGAGACATTGTTTACTTGGACTTTAGTAAAACTTTTGACAAGGTTCCACATGGTAAACTAGTGAAGTTGGATCACATGGTATTCAGGAAGAGCTTGCCAATTGGATACAAAATTTGCTTAACTGTTGAAGACAAAGTGATGATGAGGTTGTTTTTGGGACTGGAGGCCTGTGACCAACAGTGTTCCACAGTGATCAGTGCGGGTTCACTTTTGTTTGTCATTTATATAAATTATTTAGATGAGAATATAGGAGGCATGCTTAAGTTTATGGATGAGACAAAAATTGGACGTATAGTGAATAGAGAAAAAAGTTATCTAAGATTCCAAAGGGATCATGATCAATTGGGTCAATGGGCTGAAGATTGACCGATGGAGTTTAATTTGGATAAATGCAAGGCATTGCATTTTGGGAAAACAAACATGGGCAGGACTTATACAATTAAAAGTAGGGCCTTGGGTAGTGTTGTAAAACAGAGAGACCTAGAGGTATGGGTACACAATTCTTTTAAATTTGCATCACTGGTAGACAGGGTGGTTAAGAAGTTGTTTAGCATGCTTGCCTTCATTGCTCAGACCTTTCAGTATAGGAGTTATGTTGATGTTGTACACGATGTTGGTAAGACCCCTTCTGGAGTACAGTGTACAGATCTGGTTGCCCTGTTATAGGAAGGGTGTGATTAATCTGGAGACGGTCCAGAAAACATTTACCAGGATGTTACCGGGAATGGAGGTT